GTTTCATCTCCTGCTCCTTCTTCTGTTAAAAAAGCTTCAACTATTTCAACTTCTTGTCAGACAGTGATATCCTGGATTAATGACGCCCAGATATCCTTTGATGGCACGACTCACTCATCACCAGACTGTCAGCGCTCATCAGTCTCCCAGACTGAGGAGACCCATCAATTACAAACTTTGGATATTACTTCCAGTCCAGCTACTCAGAATTCTGCTCGTCTTACTAGCAAAGAAAAGAAAAAATTGAGAAGACAGGCCAAAACTCTTCAACATTTAGAAGAGCATTCTCCACCAGTGGCGGTTCAGAATCTTTTGATCCGCTTGACATGGAGATCACTCCTTCACAAACAGGGTGTAGGAGTGGGCTTCCTCAGCTCACGATCTCAGTTGAGCCTCCCTAAACATTTTTATGGCATTAATACAATGGAATTGCAGAGGACTTAGGAACAATTTTAACGATTTACAGTTATTATCTCAAGATGTTAAACCATCAGCTTTTAGTCTCCAAGAGACATACTTGAAAAATACAGATAGATTTGAATTGCGTCGATACAATTCATTTCATTCATTCTCACCTCCAGGTGATAAAGCCACAGGCAGAGCTTCTATTCTCGTGAGGCAGGGTGTCATTCATAGCCCAGTTCCTCTTAAAACCAATCTTCAGGCTGTTGCTGTCCGCCTTACTTTACAGATAACCTTTACACTTTGCTCTTTATATATTTCTCCTTCTTCAGTTCTTCAGCAGTCCGATCTTCAGGATCTATTCGATCAGCTCCCAAAACCCTGTATCATCATGGGTGATCTTAACGGCCATAACCCTCTGTGGGGTAGTTCCGCAACTAACACTAAAGGTAAACTCCTTGAAGATTTCATTTCAAATAATAATTTATGCATATTTAATGGTGGATCAGCCACATATTTGCATCCTGGTACAGGAACATATTCTGCACTTGATCTGTCGCTAACAGATCCAAACATTTATAACGAATTTGAATGGTCGGTCCACGACGACCTGTGTGGAAGTGACCATTTTCCGACAATACTTTCAGCAATAAACCCCAATGATGAGCCTCCTACAACAAGGCGGAATTTTAAAAAGGCCAATTGGCCTTTATTTCAGACTCTTTGTTCTGACCGATTGAAATCTGACTTTTTTGTCAATGTTATGGATCCTATTCAGTTGTTCTCGGACAAGCTAAATATAATAGCTGATGAAACTATTCCTAAGTCCTCTGCGACACCACACATTCGTAAACCATGGTTTACTGATGATTGCAAACAGGCCAGGAAGTGTAGGAAGAAGGCAGAGAAATACTTTCGCCGGCATCCTACAGTTCATAATTTAAATAATGTTAAAATCACTAGTGCCAATGCTCGACGTGCTTTTAAACAGAATAAGCGTCAGTCTTGGCGACATTATGTTTCCAAGATAAACTCACGGACACCGATTTGAAAGGTGTGGAACATGATACAAAGGATAAAAGGTAAAGGTTCCAAATCTACTGTTCATCATCTGAAGGATGGTGATACTTTGTTAACTGATCAGACTGACATTGCCAATAAGCTTGGTGAAACTCTCGCCAAACATTCGTCTTCCTCCAATTATGTCCTGAGTTTCAGAAACATCAGAAACAACAGGAGAAGAAAAAATAAATTTTACATCAGACAATGGAAGACTACAATGAATTATTTTCAATGCATGAGTTACGTACTGCCCTTGAGCAAGCTCATGATACAGCAACAGGAGCTGATAATATACACTATCAGCTCTTGAAGCATTTACCGGAATCATGTTTGGAAACTCTTCTAAATATTTTTGACACAATATGGACTTCAGGGAATTTCCCACCTTCGTGGCGTAAAGCCATTGTCGTCCCTATACCAAAGCCTGGCCGGGATCATACTGATCCGTCTAATTACAGACCAATCTCTTTAACGAGTTGCGTTTGCAAAACCATGGAACGAATAATAAATAATCGATTAACATGGTATCTTGAAACCAATAATCTCATAACAAATATTCAATGTGGTTTCAGGAAAAATCGTAGTACCATTGATCATTTGGTACGATTAGAATCCTTTGTCAAAATGCAATAGTCAATAAACAACATGCAGTATCGCTATTCTTTGATCTCGAGAAAGCGTACGATACCACCTGGAAGCATGGCATTTTAAAGATTTTACATGATTTTGGTTTAAGGGTCGTTTACCTCTTTTTATATCACGGTTTTAAAAGACAGACAATTTCAAGTCCGAGTGGGTTCAACCCTGTCTGACCATTACAATCAGGATCAGGGTGTCCCACAAGGCAGTATTTTGTCAGTCACTTTATTTAGCATTAAGATCAACAGTTTATCCAAGGTTTTAAACGATTCAATAGATGGATCACTTTTTGTGGATGATTTTAACATTTCTTGTCGCGGTAAGAATATGCATACTATTGAACGGCAACTGCAGTTGTGTTTAAATAAAATAAATAAATGGTGTCTTGAAAACGGGTTTAAATTTTCTAAATCAAAACTAATTGTCTACACTTCTGTAGAAAATATAAGCCTCATAAAGACCAGAACTGTTTTAAATGGCACTCCCATCAAGGTTGTAAAAGAGGCCAAATTCTTGGGTATTATTTTGACTCACACTTAACGTTTCTACCACATATTAAAGCACTTAAAACTAAATGCCTGAAGGCACTCGATTTGTTAAAAGTTGTTTCCAACTCAAAGTGGGAGGATCAAACTACCCTCCTTCACTTATACCGATCATTGGTACGATCTAAACTTGATTATGGTTCGATCGTATACGGCGGAACCTGCAAAAGCAACCTTAAATTACTTGATTCTGTTCACCACCAAGGTCTAAGACTTTGTCTTGGATCATTTAGAACCTCTCCAGTTGATAGTCTCTATGTTGAGGCAGATGAGCCTTCGCTTTCCCAACGCCGTATTAAATTATCATTACAATATATTACTAAACTATATTCAAACGAATCTAATCCTGCATTTAATTGTGTCTTCAATCCTCTTTATGAGGATTTGTATAACAAAAAGCCTTCTCTTGTTCCGCCTCTTGGGCACAGAATTAAACCATTCCTTTCTACTGCTGGCATTGAGCTGGGAATATATCTCCTTCTCGTCTTCTTTCTTCTCCTCCTTGGCAATTGGTGAGGCCAGAAGTTGACTTAACATTAACCACATTTAAAAATCGAGAAACTAATGATTTACAATATAAACAGGAATTTAGTCAGTTAAGAAATAAATATAATACCTATAAATCCTTATATACAGATGGATCAAGGATGGTGGCGCGGTTGCTTGTGCCACTGTCATTGGAGTCCAAAACAATATCTTCAGACTACCCAATGACAGTTCAATTTTCACAGCAGAAACAAACGCCATCTTAACAGCTCTTAAATATATTAATAAACACCGTAAATATAAACAATATATTATCTTTTCTGACTCTCTATCTTGCCTTCAGGCTATTAAAATCTATCTTGCAAGCATCCACTTTTAATTGAAATAATCGAATTATATAATGATCTTGCTACTGGCCAATGCGACATCGTCTTCTGTTGGTTACCCAGCCACGTTGGCATTTCTGGGAACACAATGGCCGATCTTGCTGCCAAGGCAGCACTCAACAAATCTGTGACACCACTTCTTCTCCCATACTCTGATTATAAAGCCAGCATTAGAACATACATCCGCGATCTGATGCAGAAGAAGTGGGACACCCAAGTAGGTATCAATAAATTACATGCAATCAAACCTTATATCGGTTACACCTACTTGGGATGTCAGTCCAGATTTGAAGAGGTCACCATGCGACGATGTCGCATTGGCCACCTGAATACACTCATGAGTACCTATTGAAGGGCGAGGATCCTCCGTTTTGTATCCCTTGTGATGAAAGAATCACAGTCAAGCATGTCCTGCTTGACTGTGTTGAATATTCCATCACAAGGGATAAGTATTTTAATGTCAAAACATTGAAGGATCTTTTTACTACTGTTAGTTCTCATTTAGTTATTGCCTTTTTAAAGGAATTAGATTTGTTGAGTGATTTGTAAATAGATATATATTTTATTATTGGTAGTTTAGATTAGCAACTGAGATTGTTAGTGGCTGTATCCTCAAAGGGGGTTGAAGTATTGTAAAATTATTGTCCTCCTGAGAGGGTACGTAAGTCCCAAAACATTTAGTTAATTTAAGTGTACCAGGTTTTTAATCGTAGAATAAGTGTGTTTTTAATTTATGGCTAGATTTCTCTTCTGTCGCCAATGGTTGAAGGGATGGTGTAAATCCAACTAGGGTCCATGCAGGTAGCAAAAGTAATGTAAGTCCCCATGGTTCCTAGTATGGTGATCTACCTTCAGTTGTTGGCGATCTATAGCCCGTTTTTATATTGTATTGTCTTCGTAAATAAAATAGTTTTACATGTTCATGCTAGTTTTAGACTCCATCTGTGATACTCTAGTTATTTTACAGTCCTTCGCTGACTGATTCTTTAGCAACTTTGATTTATTATTTATATAAAACATTTCTCGTCACGATATGGCTGCAATATTGCCGATGTGACGTTAAATCATAACTCACTCACTCACAAAAACTTGATATTTCTTCGAGGCTTTAAAGATGTTACTATACATATTTTATCAATCTTGGAATAGTGTTTTACAAAATAGCACAAGATATAGATTATATAAGGAGTACAAAAGAAAAATATTTAACTGCCATCAATATAAAGAAATATAGAGGTTTAAGCGCCTCATGATGACAGACAATGATACACTAATGCTCACAGTATGTAAATATATGTTTTATAGCCTTAAAAGAAGGCAGACATCATTGAATGTGTAACTTTTCTAAATATTATGTATGAATTATGTATTGCAATGTACATGTATGTGGGCCAAAGACGTGAGTAAACACACTTGACACTTGACTATTTCAGCGTCCGGTAATTGCGTTAATAAATGTGTCATGTGAAAAAAGACTCACCATATTTTTGACACAGGTACTTATGAGTGTCTACTGGATCACAGTAAGTGTTGATTGTGCAGTTGTGATTTGCACATGCGCCAGCAACTACCTAGAAACAAATTGATATCAAGTACTATGCACATGTCTATATTACGAAATCCTTTTTTGAGATTATTCAACAAGTCGAGAGACAGATGCATTTACGCTTAGCATGTTGAGGTACGGACATTAAAACAATCATCCGGACGGATGGGGTGCTTACAAAGTGTGGTTACGGTGTTACAGTACACTAAGTTTGTTGCTTATACAGTCAAGCCGTGGTAGCTAGAATAACGCCAACAGCGGTCTGTGTAAACTTTCCTTCACTCGGAAATGCATCTGAAATCTCACAGAGGCCAATATCAGACAATGCTCAAATTGGACCGAAACATTTACCTACTTCGTTGAGACAATTGCTTTAATAATATAGATGCTCGTTTGATGGTAATCTTTACGCTTGGTGTCAAAAGGTGGAACGCCTTATTTAATTTTGGACAAAACGCTTTCACCCGAAACACCTACCCATAGAAGTTGAAAATCCTTATATATTCTCCTGCTTCGCTTAATGCACATGAATAGTCCGACAGTAAGCACATCTCCAGTAAATATACACATATCATTCAAAAGCTGTAAAAATCATTTAACTACCTCTGGCCAGTGTTTGATGTCAGAGAAGACAAACCCAGCGGCTGGAACCAGATGAGTGGTGTTGAGACCTCCAGGAAACAGTGTTAGATAGTTAAGCTCACATTTCCCCGAGTTAATATTAAAGTTGAAGGATTTGCACCATCTTCTCGCAAGGCACGTACGTGCGCAGAGAACCTGTCCCTGTGTCGACAGCGATATGACGTGGACATTCGGTAGTCTGACGTTGCGTTCAACAAAATGATAGTTTTGGAGGTCTGTACATATCTTTGATGAACTTGCAAGATGAACTGTCAGAGACACCAGATAAGTCACAAGCAGAGACATAGCTGCTTCACTTATCAGTGTTACGTTTGTAAGCTGCAAAGACGAAGCACATGTATGTTCAACGAGACTGTATTGTTTGACTATTTCTATTTCATGTTAAAATATGTTTGGTCTTCCAAATCATATCTTGAAGCCATTAATAATCTCAACAGTGCATTTTGCAGCTTGGACAACAAAAACCAATTTGGGAACAGGGCTCCAGATAACTTTTCAACACCAGGAGCACACACTCCTTATTTTTTCAATATAGGAGTACTGGAAAACCGTAAGAGTACATTTACTGAATTACTGAATGGAATAAATGGAGTGTGACTACGACAAGACGAACGAGTGATACTCAAGTACTGTCGGAAATGAAAACAACAACTGTTTTTATGCTGTTACTCTGTATCCCTAAAATTTACACAATTGCAAATAACATATATCGAAATAACCCTCATCGGACTAACTGGGCGTTCAGTGGGATAAGTAATAGGATATCCAGAAAAGCATGTTAACTCGTGAAATCGGGCAAAAGTTAGAAAAAATACGAATAGCTGCTTAAACCAATAGATCAGACTATAGATGACAATTAGGTCGCTCAGCAAGGTATGACGACAGACCGTTTGACTCACCTTGCATGGAATACACGTGCTGCCTACAGGCACAAGTGGTCACCTCAAAGATATTTTATTCGTTTTCTAGTGAGTTGAATATGTCTCATATATTGATTAACATCTAACGTGTCTTTCTTTCATCACGTTTATGTTGACATATGTAAAATAGTATGATACCCACAGAATGGCTTAAATCGGCCATCGTATCAAATGTCTCAAAATATATAGGTGGCATCACCCGAAAATCGACAGGATTGGATATTATTTGTAAATTGTTACTTCCCCAGCATAATTCCCCTAAGGATTATCTAATCTTAGCTGATATCTCTGTCCTCAAGTCCGACCCCAACCACCGTCTGCTACACCCGTCCTAGTTTTGCTTTTGAGACGACCCCTCCTACCTGTTTGTTTTAATAGTAATAGTGAGACTCCATGGTAGCTACATCCTTAATAGTTTCAGAATTAAGATAAATTAATTATTTTTTACGTCAGCTATTGTTAATAATGAAGGTAAGTCTAATTTCAAAATAGGCATTTAAAAAGTGTCCTTTGTAATACAATATCATCGCACATTAATTTGCATAAAGCTATGGTCTGTTCCAAATACGTCGCTTTGGACTTAGAAAAAACCGCATTGCTCATTTCTGCACTAATCTCTCCACAGTAAGGTCCTTTTTTACATTTCTTATCTCCCTACCATTGAGACTGTAGTTAGGCCGAACTTGGTTGAACAGATATTTCACACTTTCACATATTAACTACAAAAATTGTAGAGATAAATGTGAAAAAAATCCAGTTTTTTTCTATTTTCGACATTACTTGAGTAAGCAGTTCATTCATTATTCGTATAGCAATTTGATTACGTGACTGTAGTCTGACTGTGCTGTCGTCGAAGCACAGTCTTGTTGCTGAAAGAAACTTGTAAATTTTATCTGTGCCGCCATGTTTACATAGACGTGCACAATTTTGACCAATCAAATCTAACAGTAGCAACCGGGATTCCCAAAACACGACAAGGGAAACCCCAATGTGTCGCTATCACATTAATTCAAAGATAGGACACAGCTTGACATCAAATTGATATGTTTTAGATAAATACGTCTGTAAATGATTCTAAGACCGTACACCATTGCTGTGGTGCGTATCTGCTACGTTTTCTAAATAATTTCCCACCGTATCGTGCATATTTTTTATCCGTACATATGCCGATACGGTCTTTGTATCTGTAGCCCCGTGGGAAGACACCAAACAATCAGACAATTGAAGAAATCAACAAAGACACTTACATGCATTGAGGCACAAAGGTACATTACACACCCAGATATGGCAAGTAGCAGCATCCAAGATGAAGCTGATGTTTTATCACGGCTAGCTATTGTTCCAGAGGAACTGAATCACTCCATTCACTACAGACAGGCAAGCCTCGTGTTGCTTATCCACAAGTCTGGCTGCGGTTGTGTCTGAACTGTTCAAATCACATGAAGAAAGTGAGGAAGCATACAAGAAGTTTGCTGGTAGCAGAATGTCTGAGAATCCAGTAAAGGCTATTGACAAAACTTTGATCCTGACAGCGGATAGGAACCACTTTGGCTAAATGGTGGTTATTGCACAGGGTCGAGGACAGTCAGTGTACTGCCACATCCACTGGCGCCTCTACCATGGTCCCTGGCAACAACTGATGGGTCATTTCGGAAAACAAACAAAGCAACCCATGCCAACCAGCTTGAGAAGCTGATCATGCAAGCAGAGAGCACTCTGGATACTTAAGCATGCATAATAGATGGAAACGGTATTCTACGAAAGGTAAAAGAACAGCACACCACTTTTTCAGATCTTGCTGACACAGTATTTATAAGACTCACGCTTGAAAGTCACGAGAGCAAGAGAAGAAATGTGAAGTGGTTCATAGTTCAAGAGCATCATGAGTAATGACAAAATACAACAGTGGAAGAAGTTTTTATCTGTATCAAGAAACAGTAGACTGCGGTACTGTTAGCGTTTAGGCTGGTCAAATTGCATCCCTTGAAAATCATTCAGGGATCTGGATCATCACAATTTCAGAACGCATTTTGTGAACTCGTAGAACAGTTGCCCGAATAGCAGTGCTCTCAATGATCCAAAACAGGTTACTTGTGTGAATGAACTATTCATCTAGGCTAAATAGACCTGCTGATCAGAGTAATATTCTAATATATTATAGATAACGTATTGTTTCTATGGCAAATACTAAGCTGCATTAATATTCCAGCGATTCCATATTTACGATACCCATACATTGCATCTAATATGTTTTGCGTTAAGACATGCTGTCTAATATAGATGTCTATCATATTGCAAACCTCAGTTATGATATCATATTACAATACGAAGATAATATTCTTTCTTCCCTCCGTGTGGTACTGACATCCCATTTTTTTCAGGGGTCTGGCCCATGTACTAATGAGAGTACAATATCTGTGTAATGTCCGTCCACACATTATCTTCTCGAGTATACAACTAAGCAATATTAAAGAAAACACGTCTGAGGCGGTCTAAATCCAATCCTAACAGGTATGCTATTGACAGCATTGTCTCGCTTTGGAAGGTTGAATACCCTCATCATGGCAAGCATAATAAAAACCCAATGCTATAAGGCATCAACATCCACACCGTAACTGAAGTCATTTTAGCAAATGAATCCCTGAACTGTTTCACAATACACACACCCACTTTATGAAATTGTTAATGATCAATTTCTAATGGTGTACCTACCTGCAGTTTCCTGACTAGTTCATATAATCCGGAAAATTTCCCGGCTTGCGTCTATATTAGATGTATCTAGAGCCAGGTTGTTAGTTAGATGAAGTAATTACTTTATCCGACATCTGTGTGCCAAGTGTTCTCGGCGTGGAAGACGGCGATAGGAATTGTAATTATGAAGCCAAACAGCAAGAAGTATCCATCCCCAATGCGACAGGGCAAGCTATGCGTCAGGTCTCAAAAGGCAGATGATTTATGGAAAGAAATTCGGTTTAAGGTCTTGTAAGGTACGTTAGATCTTGGGGAATTTTTTTTCATCTTTGAAGGCATAATCAGGCTAAGTTTTACGATAGTGATACTGTGAGTGAGTTTAAATTTAACGTCACCTCGGCAATATTTCAGCCATATAGTGATGAGAGAGGTTTTTTGCATACACAATAAATAGAAGTTGTTAAATAGCCAGTCATCGAAGGACTGTAAAATAACTAGACTATCACATATGGTGTTTAAAACTAGCATGTAAGTCTAGAACTATTTTATTTATGAATACAATACAAAATAAATACAGGCTATATTTCGCAAACAACTGGAGGCAGATTACTATACTAGGGACCATGGGGACTTACAGTGCCTTTGCTACCTGCATGGACCCTAGTTGGATTTACACCATCGCTTCTGATAGAGCTGAAGTCGTAGTTTGGCCCTTATGAATTCGTTTGCTGATCATCTAATACCTATTGTGGCTTCTGATTATTTCTGCCCAGTAATTTATAACGACATAGAAACTGCTCGTCTTATAAATTCTCAGTAGGAGAACCAAATAGGTCATTTACTAGATTGTCCGGTCCAGACTCGATTATTGACATACCATCGTCGTACAGTTGACATATTGCTGAATACAATTTAAACAACAACAACAACAACCACAACAACAACTGAAGACATTCAAACACCACAGTCTAACAATTCATTATTGCCATAACAACCCCCCTGGCACTGATTACAAAGCTTAGGCTTGGACTTGACATGGGTTCCAAAGTTAACCCCAAGACAGAAAGAGGGCTCCAGACCACCAGTTCCTGTGTAATTAGAAGCCGAAATATCTGCAACAGCAACTTCGAATCATTGACAAACATGCACGTGGTGGGGCTGAAATGCCATTTTACCCCCAGAGGATTTCTTGGAGAATACCCTCCGAGGTTGTCACGCTTGACGAAATAGTCAACAATGCCACAGTAGTCACGGGGGCGTTAATACCTTGATAGCTAACAATTGCTTTCAGAGCCATGACTACATCCAACAAACACCAAAATAACATTGTGATATTTTCTATAAATCTATCTAGAAGGCACACGTATGAAGAACCAGAAACAGCAAAAAATTGCTTAGAATTCATAATACAGAACATATGTTGGCCAGTGCTGTAGCTAGAAGTAAGTCAGCTGTATATGTGGTGGCCTGTAATTTGAGTTAGGACTTGGTTAATATTGCAAGCAACGTTGCTTCTCCGCTTTATTCTCGATCGTGTTCATCCCATAGGTGTTCTATCGGGTTTAGATCAGGTGATCAGGAAGGCCATGGCAAGACATTGACGTTAGGATTGGCAAGGTAGCGGACCGTGACGCGTGCTCTATGTAAAGTAACGTTGTCATGCTGGAACAACTCCCTCGGTCGGTCCATAATCGGAAGCATGTGACGTGCAAGGACTTCGTCGGTGTACCGATTTGCTGTCAAAATCACCCTAATGAATTGCACTCCAACTCAAAGACAAATAATCGTAAATGACTCAAAC